ACCACACCAAGTATGTCTTCTGATCTATTGAAGATGCCTATGCTCAGGAAAGGAATGCCTTTGATTTCCTCTTCCAGAGCTTTGAGACAACGTGTAGGGGAGATGCTCTTTCTCACTTGGATACCTGGAAACTAGCAAGAGAAAATACTCAACAGTTACTGACTAAAGATTAAGATGAAATTAAGAAATTTTTTGAGAAGTTGAAACACACATTGGATCAAAAGGATAATGAAATCCTGTCTGACTTGGAGATCATGAAATTTGCAGTTCTGCAAGCTTATGACCCAGAGGTTAACCAACTCACCACCACCTTACAGGAACAATGATTGGCCTTTAACATGGCTGAGGCTTTCAAAGACTTGGCAGAACCCATGATGTTTCTGCAACAGATGTAGGCATTCTGGGAGAAAATCAAAGTCATCAAGGAAATCCCTTTACCTGCCTCTTAATTTTCCCAGAAGCCCTTTGATGAAGAACATTGACCAGTTAGTGTGAGAACATCAAATTAGTAGATGTGGATACTTTCTTTGCCTCAGGGCACTGTCACATTCATTAGCAAGATTCCCTGGCACTTTTATCAGTTATTTGCAGTAGTCCTTCTGCTTGACTTTCTCATTTTCTTCAGTCCCACTGCATCCCTAAAGTGATCTTTATTTGATGAATATGCAGGCAATTCACTCTGTCAGCCTATGTTCTTTGGGTGGGTGCACCTTATTAGCTGTGGTCTCACCAATCCTTATCCACACTAACACAGAAGGCCTCTATAGCAATCCTGACAGCCAGAATAAGTACAATGGCTTACTGAACTCCTGGAGAAAGATCGATCTGTAAGGGCAGTTTATGACATCAAAGCCACAGATGTCAGGTTAGATAAATAAGATTTAATGCAGAGGTACATTTTGATGGATGACTTGTTACAAGACTTTATTTGGAAGGACAAGATTTTTGACTAAGTGATATATGAAATTGAAGATTTGAAACACTAGAACTAGAGGCCTATGCACTTAAACTTAGAAAAAATATCATTGATGCCTTAGGAACTGAAGTCCATAGACTTGAGAATGAACAAAAAAATGAAATCCTGAAGTTCCATGTGTAAATCTAGAGATATTATAAAATGATACAATGAATCATTTCGGAAGCATGTTTGCCCAGCCACTCTGAAAAGCCATTTCCTACCCTTTCATGCTGACTGTAGAGCCATTCAGAAGACATTGTTTCTAAGAAGAAGAAAATATTCTGTGTGAAGAGCAATTGAAGATCCACAGAACCAGAACAACTTCCTAAATTCTATGAGACATTACAAGTTGGATTAATCTGAAAATCCCATTTTTGTGATTCAGCATGGAACATTTTGGTATTTGAATTGCTTATAGTTTCTCATTTTAGCCTATCAATGTGTGTTGTACCTTGAAATAATGATTCTTCTCTTTACATTGGTAAAACTAAGTTCATCCCCAGGATTATGACTTTCAGTTTTGTTTCCACTGAAGTTTTCATTTCATCCAAATCTGCCCATCTGACTATGTTGGCTATATCTCAGTATGTGATTTTTAAACAGTCCCTGTTTCAGAGTCGATCTTTCCTCATAAAATGTGTAAATTGTTACTACATACCTTGTGACTTTGACCTGAGTCCTAACAGAAGCACTATCCTAACCTAATTATCCACATTGTTCATTCCAGAAATGACTTAGTTGCTGACCGGCATGAAGGTATTTTAGGACACTCTTTTAGTCCATAGTTGTTATACCTTTGTAAAATGTCTTCTTTATCTTTGTTAATATTTCATTTAATTTTCCTTCTTTTATAATCCTACCTTGACTTTCTTTTTTTTTTTTTTTTGACAGGCAGAGTGGATAGTGAGAGAGAGAGACAGAGAGAAAGGTCTTCCTTTGCCATTGGTTCACCCTCCAATGGCAGCCGTTGCCGGCGCGCTGCAGCTGGCACACCGTGCTGATCCGAAGGCAGGAGCCAGGTGCTTCTCCTGGTCTCTCATGGGGTGCAGGGCCCAAGCACTTGGGCCATCCTCCACTGCACTCCCGGGCCACAGCAGAGAGCTGGCCTGGAAGAGGGGCAACCGGGACAGAATCCAGCACCCCGACCGGGACTAGAACCAGGTGTGCTGGTGCCGCAAGGTGGAGGATTAGCCTAGTGTGCCACGGCACCGGCTCTACCTTGACTTTCACATGTTGTAGTAACATTCTACTGAAGGGAAAAGTTTTCTTCATCAGCTGGATGTATTAATAATTCCCAAGCTATGGTTCCTAATCAAAAAACAAGAAGGCAGGAGCAATACTTCCATAACAAGAACTTCTATTTCACTTTTCTCAAATGGTCACAGCCCAAGCACCATGACTCCCAAGAATAGAGTATCTTGTCTGATGAAAGAATAGAATGATTACATTCTTTTACCCAATAATTTCATTTTTAGGAATTTATTCTAAGGAAATGAAAGGAATAGACCACAAAGACATAATGGGCACATAATGTTCCTCTCAGTGTTTCTTAAATAGTAACCCACCAACAAATAAGCAGGAAAACAATAGGGGGAAAATTCAAATCTCTATCAGAAAAGAATATATAAGTCATTGTTGGAGCACCCAACAAGATTAGTCTACACATTAGATCCTACAGTCCAGTGTCAACAAGAGAAGTGATCTCTTAAAATCACCAGAGACAAAGAAAGATTTCCATCCTTAAAATTCACTAATAGAGTTTCATTTATGTTTCTTATTTATTTATTGGAAAAAATAGATTTCAATTAAAAATAAAATATATACATCATACATTCATTTACTATGAACAATGTGTGTGTGTGTGTGTGTGTGTTTTTTATTTGACAGGTAGAGTTATAGACAGTGAGAGAGAGAGAGACAGAGAGAAAGGTCTTCCTTCTGTTGGTTCACTCCCCAAATGGCCGCTATGGCCGGTGCTGCATCAGCCCAAAGCCAGGAGCCAGGTGCTCTTTCCAGTCTCCCATGCAGGTGCAGGAGCCCAAGCACTTGGGCCATCCTCCACTGTCCTCCCAGGCCACAGCAGAGAGCTGGACTGGAAGAGGAGCAACCAAGACTAGAACCCGGTGTCCATATGGGATGCCGGCACTGCAGGCAGAGGATTAGCCAAGTGAGCCACAGCGCTGGCACCAACAATGTGTATTTTAAAAACTAAGATGGAAATGGGATTCAAAGGTAAGTTTATTTTGGTGCATTAAAATTTGAAATTCATAAATCTGGGTGATTTTTAAAAACTTATTGAAAATGTCCATTATAAAAATCTATGTGATATAAGAGTTTTTGAATCAAAATAATCTCTCAATGCATTTTACATGAATTTCTTGAATGGCCATTGTACATATTGTTTTGAAATTTATACACATTGTAAAATGGTTTAATAAAGTGAATTACCATATAATCATAATGCATAGTTTTAAAAGTTAAAATTCTTTAAATTTTTCTCAAAAATTTTGGAGAAAACATTTTTAAGTGCAGTCACCATGTTTCACTTTTTTCTTCATCTTCCAAATCTTTCCTCTTTTATCCATTAATTATACATCTATATTTTCCCCTCATTAAAATCTTTAAATTTGCTTTTCACTTCTGCAGCTTAGATGCTCTTTTCCTAGCTTCCGCACTGAAAGTTACTCCCCATTGTTATGTGTTAAGATCACGTATTATCCATTAGTGAGGACTTTCAAACTCTTCTGGCTAAAGCAACCCTTGTCCTCTCCACTGGGACCTATCACATTATTTTATTTTTTATCCAGAGCACTTCAAATATTTAAACTATTTTACACAAAGCTATAATTTATACCACTTTCTTCAAATATGCTCTATGAGGGCAGAATTTTGACATTCAGGCCACTCCAGAATGTCAAATTAATTAATAGAAAAATCAGGTATGTGAATCTCACTAGCATCAATGCAAGTTGGTAATTAGCCGGTAACACCATAAAGAAAAAAAACTGACAATCAGAGCAGTTCTGTTTGCTACGAAAGATTGATTTAGAAGCAACAACTCAGATGTAGCCAGTAGTATATATAGAAATGTCTAACTTGGACTGTCTGGGAAATTTTATTGCTTCTCTAAAAGAAATCAAGATGTGATATATTTTAAGGGACCATAGCCCTTTTGCAGACATGGAAAGGGTAGCTGATGGGCTGTGATTACCTGGGCACACAAGTGTAAAAAGTGGGTCTCTAATGGCTGAAGCACTAATTTACCAGTCAGTACATGTGGGTTTCAGAACTGGAGACACACGCAGCCTGTGATGGAAACAGGTTGGGAACACATGAAGGAATAAAGAGGATGCAGTAAACCAGTGCTTAGAGATTGTTTATAACCTTAAATGCTTATGTTAGAACAAAACACTGAAAATCAATCATTACAGCCCCCTTGTTAATTATAAACAAAAAATATCAGAGTATTGAAGAAGAGGAAGAAAAAAGAGAACGGCAGACATGTATGAAATGCTATACAATGTACCACAAATAAACAAGCACACAATGACTTTTTTTAAGAAAAATGTTAACAAAGTTAACCATTAGGAAAAAACAATTAAGGAACAAATGGGGAAAGTAACACAAATAACCAGTTTAGGAATTAAAACAGTATCATTCTTTTGTAGAGATTATAGCTTTGACCAAGATACTAGAGAAAGATATGAAATTCCTAGGAGTAAAATTTGACTACAGAGATCAATATCCACCCTATTTTGAAAATCAGGTTTCCAAAACACAAATATAACATAAAATAGAAAAACTCCTATATAACGCAAGTAAGTTGAATCACATTTTGAAAACTCCAAACGGTCAACCCAGAAAGTCACACAATGACAATTTCAGGTCCAGAATTAGAGAATACTTCAAAATTTTACAGAAGAAAAAACAAATTCACATTTCAAAGACCTACCCAAAGTGAAAATAAGCAAAGCCTATTTTTTAGTTTCTTTTGGAAAACCACCATTACAGAGAGGATGGTGCAAGCAGGCCAAGACTTGAAATTAAAAAAGGGTGCTGGCGCTGTGGCACAGCAGGTTAAAACCCTGGCCTGAAGTGCCAGAGTCCCATATGGATGCCAGTTCTAGCCTTGGCTGCTCCTCTTCCAATCTTGCTCTCTGCTATGGCTTGGGAAAAGCAGTAGAAGATGGCCCAAGTCCTTGGGCCTTTGCGCCCATGTGGGAGACCCAGAAGAAGATCCTGGCTCCTGGCTTTGGATCAGTGCAGCTCTGGCTGTTGCAGCCATCTGGGGAGTGAACCAGTGGGTGGAAGACCTCTCTCTCTCTGTCTCTACCTCTCTCGGTAACTCTGTCTTTCAAATACATAAAATAAATCTTTAAAAAAAGAAATTAAAAAAATAAATTTTTGGATCAAGACGTGAAATAAAAATTAAGTTTTTAAAAGCATCTCTTTTATAAACAGAGCTACTAATATCCTCAGAAAAGTATTAATGTAATAAATGAAATCATCTAAGAAAATATATCAATAAGAAGCAGGGACATAATAAAAAATGCAAGGGTGGTTAACATTCCCAGACAAGCCATCCAGGCAGGTAAAAATCACAAGAAGAAAATCCCATGGTCATTTAGATTCCGTGTTGGAAAGCATTTAGTGAAGTTCAGCAGCTAGGAAAGAGAAAACTGCTAGCAGAGCAACAACAAAAAAGCCAGCGACTTCTTTACTGTGCCTGAGAGTGAAATGAACCTACAGCAAATGACGCAAATAATAAGGGCTCATTGAAAGCTTTTTTCCTTACAGTAAACCTAGGCCATGATTCCTGCACTCTCTCTCAGACTTTCTACTACAGGTGTAATAAAGGAAATAAAACAGCAAAAAGTAATTACATGGTATAAAGATCAATTTCTAAGTCATAAAATGTGAATATCCTGGGTGATGCTTATATAAGGAGATAATCCATAAAAATCTAAAAACTGATAAATGAGATTACTGGAAGATTTATACATACGTGTGTGTGTGTGTGTTCTAATTACTAAGTACTAGCAGGAAACAGAAAATAATAATAAAGGACAGGCAGACTAAAAAAAAAAAAAAAAACAAGTGAAATTGGAGGATTCAATTTTGTGATATCCTTAAATATTCTTTAAATCAATACTTAAAAAACCACAGATGATTCAACAGAAAAAGTATCACATAGATGATGAAAAAGAAAGGCTCTGAAGCCAATAAACAGCCATTAAATGGTAACCGACCTGAGTTAGTTTACTGCAAGCTCCAAGTAGGATCCTCTCAGGAAGATGAAGGTGGGAGCCCAGCAGTGAACAGGACCAGAGAGGAGATCCCACCTCTTGCTGCAGGGAGGGTGGTGCGCAAGAGGACGAAGTTTCAGAAATGAACCCAAGACTCCTTCTTGCTTCTGCCTCCAGCAAGACCTGGAGTTATGCAGCAGCGTTATGGAGGACGCGGATTGGCTGCATCTTTTATGACGTGGTGCATCCTCACAGCTAGGCAAGCTGTCCAATCAGGTGTGGTAGCATAAGTGCTACGTAATCCCACGGAATCTTGACATCATAGTAGTCAACCAGTTCCGTGGTGGAGAGGCCCTAGGAGGGGCTCCAACACTCAGAACTCTGAATGTAGCCCACGTCCATTGTTCTCGTACCTTCTTCCATAGCAGGAAGCTGCTCATCTAGGACCTCGGGACATGGTGCGTGGGGCCGAGCTTGAGGAGAGGGGAAGGCAGGGTGGGGAAGTTGTCAGAAAAGGCTGGCAGGATGTGGGCTTCCCAGAGGCTGCTGCTGGAGACTGTAGGCCCCCTCTCGTTGCTGATACGACCCTCCACTCAGCCCCTTCTGGTCTGCAGTACGGGGGCTGGACTGGCACCCGGGACCCCAGCGTCCTGTTCCTTTCCTGCTCACAGTCCAGGGGCCATCCCTGGGCAGCTGTTGGTGGCATTCCCTTGTCTTCCCCGATTGTGCAGTGGGGACAGGATGGTCATTATGGAGCATATGGGTTGTGTGCTGGGTTCCTGCAGCGAAGAGCTGTCACTTATGGGATCCTCAGTTCCTCTTCTCCCCGGGGTGACAGCATTCCCCAAGTTTTCTGAATAGTTCAGAAGCTGAGTCTCAGCTCATGGCCCCTGACTTCTTAGCGTAGCTCTTTCTGGGAGTCTGACCACGTTTTCTGTTGGTAACAACAGCGTCACAGACCAGGTAAGTTAATGAAACAGTTTTATTTTGATCAGGGCTTTGGTTGAGGTTTTAGGGGGACAAGACGACACTGTATTTTGGTCTTGGATGTCATCTGAGCCTTTACATGTTCCCTGAATTTTCAAATAAGAAATTTTAGCTAGTCACATTTATCAATGTTTTTAAAACTGTTTCTGTTCCATGAAAACCTTCCCAACCCCAAAGATATAAACCTTGTTTTTTGAGTTTTAATTTTTATTTTGATGTAGGGTGATTGTTTTCAAAGTTATTGGAGTATAATTGACAAACAAAATTTGTATATATTCAAGGCCTGCACCTTGATGTTTTGATATGTGAAGAGACTTTTTAAAAATTTATGGAAATTTCACTGTTTAATCCTGTTTTTCCAAACCTTTTGGAGTTCCCTTGTACATATACATTCTGAAATGACTAGGACAAACTAATACATCCATCACCTGACATAGTTTTTAAAAGAAAACCTAGTGCCTTAACAAGTTGTGAATATCTAATCATATATTCATAACATTTCTGGGCTGTACATTATCTCCTAACTGTAAATGTGTGTCATTCAACTAACATCTTCCATTTCCTTCACTCTCAGCACCTAGCAACCACTGTTCTCTTCTTAAGTTTGACTTTCTGAGATTCCATAAATAAGGGAGATTGTGTGGTATTTATCTTTCTGTGACATTTCAATCAGCCTAATGGTATATTCATACTTTTCAATCCAGATTGTGACAAAATGTCAGAATTTCCTTGTTAAGGTTGAATGTGACTCCATTGTGTGTGTCTGGCATTTTCTCCACTCATCTGTTGATAGACAATGTTTATTTATATATCTTATTCGTGTGAATAATGCTCACATGAACATGGTTGTGCAGTTGTATCTTTGAGATAGTAATTTTATTTCTTTAGATGCACATCCAATAGTGGGAATGCTTTATCATTTGTTAGCTCCATTTTTAATTTTATTTGAGACACCTCCATAGTGTTCTCCATAGTGGATGTACCAATTTACATGTCTATAAACAATTTATATGTTCCCCTTTCTCCAATGCTGGTTCAATATTTATGTTTTTTTACTTTTTTATATTAGCTATTTTTACATATGTGTGATCATAACCAGAAGCGGAAATGTAAGCCTGGTTGGGATCCGTCTGATTAGCCCGGGGAGCAAAGGACGGGAAGCCAAACTGTGGGGCAGAGACGTAAGCTGGGTTGAATTCGCCAGGCTAGCCCGGGGAACTTAGATTGAATGCTAGTGGTGGAGACGTGAGCTGACGCTGTGTGACTCGCGGAGGCTGCCATGCGCAGAGAGAGCGTGCGGGGCACAAGTAGATAGGGAACGTGGGGCTAGCGCGGAGACCGCGGAGTGTGCGCGCAAAGCCAAGCCGCGCAGAGCCGCGAAGCCGCGCAGATGAGAGAGGTGCGGGCTAAAGCGGCTCAGCCGGAAAGCCGCCGAGAAATAGCCTCGGGGCGGGCGCCGGGAGGCCGCGGGGATAAGAGAAACAGAAGTTTAGAAGTAAAATGAGAGCGGGAAGCCGCAGGGATAAGAGAAACAGAAGTTTAGAAGTAAGATGAGAGAAATAGGAATGCTGGAAGATAGAAGTAAAATGGGAGAAATAGGAATGCCCGGAGATAGAGAAATAGAGAAATAGAAAGGCCTCCCTACAATACTGCAATTAGAAGGCTTGGATTTGGTCTGCCCGATTAGTGAGGCGATGAGCACCTGCGGGTGGCTAGCAGCTTATGCGCTGCAGGTCACCGAAGACAGGCACGAATTAACATCAGTAAGGCCTCCACACAATACAGCAATTAGGAGGCTTGGATTCGGTTTGCCTGATTGTTAGGGCTTGTAAGCCCCTGCAGGCAGAGCAGAGCATGCGCTGCAGGGCACCGAACACAGGCACGCATCAGCGCCTAAAAACCTCCTCACAACATGGCGAAGAGAGGACCCGGATTCGGTTTGCCTGATTGATAGGACTTGTAAGAACCTGTGGCAACTCTAGCAAGTAGAGCAGAGTGTGTGCCACGGGACACCGAAGACAGGCGCGTATCAACGCCAAAAATAAAAAGAAAGGGGGATCTGTGGGGAGCAGCCCGGACTGGACTGAGTTACTGGAATTAAGACTTATTCTATGCATCTGCTCTCCCACAGTATGGCGCTGGGAGAGAAGTAAACAGCTTCTACACAGCTGCCTCCAGTTCAACCAATAGACTGTAGGACTTGCTCCTGATTGGAGAGCAGCGTACTCGGCGTGTGGGCAGCCGAGTTAGGATTGGTGGAGGAGGACTATAAAGGAGGAGAGAGACGGCATGCACCAGGAACATCTAAGGGGAACATCTGAGGGAACATCTGTGCAGCCCCCCAGAAAGCCGGCCGGCGGTGTGCCGCTCCCCTGCGGAAGTGGGGAATGTGGCCAGGGGGAACTGCCCTTCCACGGGGGTGGAAGGGATAGTAGCCAACCCGGGAAGAACCAGCAGCAAACCCGGGGAGGGCCGAGCAGACGAAAGAACAGCGCAGGGTCTTGTGTCGTTCCCCCACGAAGACGGGGAGTGACAAGAATGTCCTCTCTTTCTCTCTCCTTCTCCCTCTCCCCCTCTCTCTCTCTGTTTCTCTGTGTGTCTCTTTTTCCTTGAAACTAATTAATTGAGAAATTCTTTAAAAACTTCATGGAGTAATTGGTACCAAATCAGATCTAGATGATAGTGAGTTCCTTGTGTTACATAGCATTGTAGGTGACTATAGTCCACTGTAAGCTATCCCATATTTTAGGAACAAATAGAGGAAAGGTGCTCCAAGGACCTGATTTTGAAGTATAATGTCAGAGAAGGGAAAATGTTGTTTACTCCAATTTGAATAAATTCAGTACACACTGTATGCATGAATTAAAATCTCTCACTGCAGTCCAGAGGTATGTATAATTATTGTCAACAAAATAAACTCAAAACATCGTTCTTGGTGTATAACATTAAGGGGTGTTAAAATACTTAAATTAGTATCACAACTAAAATTCTGATCTTTGGGGCTGGTGCTGCGGCTCACGAGGCTAATCCTCTGCCATGCAGCGCCAGCACCCTGGGTTCTAGTCCCGGTAAGGGCGCCGGAATCTGTCCCGGTTGCCCCTCTTCCAGGTCAGCCCTCTGCTGTGGCCCGGGAGTGCAGTGGAGGATGGCCCAAGTCCTTGGGTCCTGCACCCCATGGGAGACCAGGAGAAGCACCTGGCTCCTGGCTTCGGATCAGCGCAGTGTGCCGGCCACAGCGCGCGGTCATTGGAGGGTGAACCAACGGCAAAGGAAGACCTTTCTCTCTGTCTCTCTCTCTCACTGTCCACTCTGCCTGTCAAAAAAAAAAAAATTCTGATCTTTGGAAGCAGTTTATTCATACAAACATAATCTAGAAATATGTGAATTGGCATTTTTTAAAGATTTATTTTATTTATTTGATAGAGTTACAGAGAGAGGTAGAGACAGAGAGAGAGAGGTCTTCTATCCACTGGTTCACTCCTCAAATGGTCACAATGGACTGAGCTGAGCCTATCCAAAGCCAGGATCTTCTTCTGGGTCTCCCACATGAGTGCAGGGGCCCAAGGACTTGGGCCATCTTCTACTGCTTTCCCAGGCCATAGCAGAGAGCTGGATCAGGAGAGGAGCCACGGGACTAGAACTGGTGCCCATATGGGATGCCGGCATTCAGGCCAGGGCTTTGACCCACTGTGCCACAGCACCAGCCCCATGAATTGGCATATTGTCATTCTAAGTGGAGTGATTAGGAGGCAGTATTTTACCTTACAATGGTAATTAGTACAACTTTTTAATTGTTTCATATAAGAAAAATGAAGAATTTCTTTAAGAGTATATGGAATTAGAGGCAGAGCCAAGATGGCGCAATAGTGAGGACGCCCACTGATAATCCAGGAAAAGATAGGTTGATAAAAGAGGAATTACAGTAATCACAGGGAAAGGCTTGGGGGAAATAATGTAGAGGAAACCCTTCTGGATCTAGTGGATGTGACACAGAAGACCAGCGGGGAGAGCAGGGACGCCCACAGCTCTGAGTCCACACATCGGCGCTGGAAGGGGAGGTGAGCTCAGTAACCTAAGACATTGGTGGGGAAACGGTGGACAGAGTCTAGAGGGAAGCGGGCTTTTGGAGGGAAAGTTCATCAGACTGAATACAGGAGAGAAGGAAGAAAAAAAGTTGTGGGGGGGTACTGGTATGGGCAAGTTTCTCTCTCCACCGACCTTGCAAAGGTGAGCAAGAGACAAAGAGCAGGTGCCATTCTGGATATACATAACAAAAGGGTAGAGCTAATGAACTGAGGTGCTACAATTCAGTGGCCTAGGCAACCCAGTGGGAATCTGCAGGAGAAACTGAGCCCACACAGATTCTTTGGGCAGAAGCCAGAGATCGGAAGCTAAATACCATCAATTCTGCTCAGCCATGTGGTATTACTTACATCCTGAATAAGAAAAAAAATTATGGTGACTTGATCAG